ATCCTGCTTTGGATTTGGTATGATTTGGTAACATCCCAACACTGATTCTCGGATTTAACAGCCATGTATTGTTCGTTGCCCTCCGTGAGACGTGACTTCGCCGCCATTCTCCTCTGAGGTGTTCCAATTCCGCACGATCTGCGGCCCATCTCCGGGCGGCAAATCCATGCCGCGAAGCCAAGCGCTCAGCCGGGCAAAGGTGACCTCCAAGTTTAGCGAAGGGCAAAGGTTCACCAGAGATCCTCATCCAAATTTAGTCTTGCTTTGTTCTTTTTCAGATGCTTTTTGGTGGATTTGCTGGGACATTGTGCCTTACACCTGCGAGCTAAGAGCATCCTCCTAAAACCAACACAAACCTCATCGGTGATCAATATCGTCCGAGACACCAGCATCGGTGACAAGGCCTTCAAGACCGAGGCAGAGCGACCTCACAAAGGGTCGAGTTTAGGAGTTTAGGAACAAGAGGAAGAGAAAGAACGCAATAGCAATGGCCTCCACCTAGTAGCGTTCTTGTTCCTAGTAGTAAGGGCAGGAGCCCCTAGCCCTAGTAGCGTCCTTGCTCCTAGTAGCGATGCCAGGAGCCCCTAGTAGCTTCTTGTTACTAATAGCCTCATAGAATGGCCTCCAACCTGATAGGAATGGCCTCCCCCCAGTAGCAATGGCCTCCACCCTAGGTGACATGGAACACATGGACGTGGATAGCGGTCCTTTTCTACCATCGTTGGCTAAAAGGACAGGCAGCTTCAACAAGGGCCCATCGTTGGCTTCACGGGCACCCATCGCTTTTCCAGCTTTCAGTGAACTTTCTATATGTCACAACTGACCACTCTGTATTGGTCATTGCTGGCTTTGGCTCACGGACGGCTTAAAAGATCTTTGAACTGTGTGCACAAGATGCTACCTCGTCGTAACATTAACAGCTGGTTGGCCAAGCAAGGCGAGAAATTCCACTACGGTATCCTGGGTGATGTCAAGAGAGGCCAGTTGCCTTGCTCAATGAAATCCAGTGGGTGTGAAATCATGGCAGAACCCAACCACTTGGTATCAGGCCCACAGCATCCACGAAAGCGGCGGTTTTCATATGGTCCTGACGGACGAGGCGGACATCAAGGTGCTTCCCGATGTTTACCAGGCTCGAAGCAAACTGATACATGTGTCCTGCGATCGCTTTAACCAAGCGCAAACATAAATGTTGATATAGTTGATATCAGACCTGAAGTGTACACTAACAGATATGTATATTACAGTTTTTGTGGGGTTCGGAAAGCACTTTCTACAATATGCCACACGACTATCAAACAAATATTTCATATGCACTTGCATGGATACCGGCATCCTGAGAAGGGTCTGCTGCTGCTGCTGCCGCCGTGGCACAGAGTCGAACCCCAACACCCTACGATATCCTAGAGTTTTAGTTTACAAGCAAAAGGTGCCGAGCGTCCTCAAGGCTGATTTTCGCCGACCGTGCTGCCCACATCCACAGCTTCTCTGATCGAGCCATGGCTAGCACCACAGACAGCCGTCTGAAAGGCCCTAATTCTTCGATGAGCCAATGGGTGATTTCTTCGTGAAACTCAGCAGATTTCTTTTGGTTTTTACATGAACAAACATGTCCGTCCACCGGTGAAGGGCCGGGTACCCGGGTACACCTTTTTGTTGGCCTTCATTCATGTTGACAAAACTCCGGCGGAGTCGTTGGCGGAGAATCGAAGAAAACGCATGCAGCGGAGTCAACGCGCTTCAAAACTCAGTTCGATCTTCTGAGGGTTTTAGGGTTTTTGGGTCTTACCTGAAGGAAGCACTGGGATAAACACGGATGATGCGATGAATGATGTTTGGGTGAAACATCTCTGATGTTGATGGACTTTGTGGCAGAATCATGATGCAAGCTGGTCCATTCCCAACACTTCATGACCAGCAACCCTGGAACATGTCAGGGTCGTCTTGGATTAAATCAAACCCCTACGGCTGGTGGAAACAAAATCACCAAGATGACCCAAGCACTTGAAACGTTTAGGCCACTTTGGCGGTGTTCACAACTACTTGGGCTGGCGGCTAGCACCAGTAGATACCTGATTCACATCCATTTATCTGCTTCATTATGTGCTTTGGTGTGACAGAAGTGCAAGCTGGCAGTCATGCTCTGATCTGAGCTGCGGTCAAGACATACATCTTCCAACATCTGAGTGTGCTCCTGAGATCTTACTATATAGAGATACGAGATACGGTTTCCAGTTGTATCCCTTTCTATTTGTGAAGGATGAGAAATGTACTGGTGTTTCAGCAAACAAGGCATGAGACAGTTCAAAGCAAGGACGATCAGTCAGTTAGAGTTTGGAGTTGCGAACATGATTCTGAAGGCTTCAATCTTTGCCAGATACGTGTCTACTCGCAGCGATGGCTGCAAGTTGAATCGTCGCAGTGCATAGTCATGTCCATGCCTCTGTCTTGCCAGCACCACTTTCCCCAGTGATGAGCAAGGCATGCCTGTCAGGCATGCTTGCTGGGAACTCTTGAACTGAACAAATCACCAAAATCATAGTGTGAATCGAACAAAGCTAGAAAAATATGCTAAGGGACAACCCTTTCCGTGCATCACGGCCCACCCCACCGTGGCCTCTCACCTTTCGCAGCCAGTGCTTGACCTACTACAGCATAAAGGTGAGGAGCCTTGAGTCGGCACTGTGAGGGGTCCATCTCTCTGCACCGGAGCATTCGTACACTTCGTCTTTCGGCAACAAGAAGCTACGAACGGAGCAAAGGGCATCGCTACTAGGAGCATTCTTACTACTAGGAACAAGAAGCTAGTTTTTCCTGTGGAGTTCGGTGGCCACAGACAGTCGACACACTTGACAGCAAGACGATGCAGGCGCAACATGCAGAATCTGCCTATTTTTGTGCAATCCGGTCCGGCCTTGGGTGTCTTGACGCCGGCGTAGCGCGCTGCTACCTCCTAGTATCACAGAAAAGAAGGTTGCAAATGACGAGCAAACCAACCTATGAGGTCTTCTGTGGTTCGTCCTTGCCTCATGAGAGTCTTGGAGCTCTGATTCTCTTAGCCACAAAGAATGTTGCTCTTACGCTTGACCTTTGACCCTAGAACCTACTCGGTGCTCAAAGAATGTCTGTGTGACTTGTGAGTCGGAGCGTCACCTGACGATTCAAATGACCTAACATGTCAACAATGGCTGAACACAACATTCATCAACAGCATTTGGCAAGCTCAAATAGAAATCTCCCCCCAAACTCTGCATACTCTTTGTGACACAACGATGTCAGACCTTGACCCTGCCCGCGCCTCATCAAATGCTCCAACATTGGAGTACGGATTCACAGAGACTAGTACGTCACCCAGCCAGGTGTAAATCTGCTGCCTTTCATACCTGGCATCGAGGCTGTAGTTAACAGCCTAGCGGCTAGGTGATGTACATAGACAAAGGAAGTCACAACCCTGCCCACAACCCTGCTGCACCTGGCCCACAGACCATGCAAGAGTTCTGCATCGCTGAAGTCCTGGAAGATCCACGGGGTCCCATTGTTTTGCTGCAAAGTCAGAGGCACTTGCATAATATTTTATAGTTTTTGCAGTAGAAATGCTCTCAGTCCTCAAGGCACAAAAGGTCGGCTGAATCGTAGCTTGCGCTGCCTCACGGCTCCGCACATCAGAAGCCCTCGAGATATCTGTCAAGAGACTGAGCTCTTTTTGAACACATATGGCTGGCGTTCACTCTTACCCATCGGCTTTCACTCTTACCCATCGGCTAAGGTTGAAATGTGTTCCAATCTGAGATGATGACTGTGCAAATATGTCGAATCAGAACCTCACTGCCGCACAGGCGAGGCCAAACGAGGAATGATGAGGAAACAGGCCGTAGAAACAACGCAATCAGGAGTAAACACCTGGGGTCACCACGTCGAATGGCCCGAAATGTCTGAGGTTGTCCTGGTGAAGCAGTCATCTTCGGGTCTCCAGGTGAGTGTTCAATCAAGACAATTGATGTCATATAACGAAAACACCGACCTTTGGCTACATCAAAGTATGTTGACCTTGCACACATCAGAGTTGACATCACATCTCATTACGTTTCACACTTCTTTTCCATGAAACTGTTCAAGAATCTGAGGCGTCAACATCGGTGGTGCTTCGTGAGATGCCAGGACCAAACTACATAGACGTGCTTAAGCCAACTCCCAAGATCCGGCAAACACAAGCCACCAAATCATGCGAGAAGACGTCCCATCAAATCTTCCGGCAGGGCGGACTCCAACTTGCTCAGGCGGCACAGAAGTAGCCTAAAACATCCTAAAACCCTGTTTGAAGTTCTTGACGACACACTATCAATGCATGTAAATGTAAGTAAAGGTGGTGTGTTCCAAACATGTACATCCTTAGCAAAAGCACTCTCTTGCGGGTTTTCCCCTTTCTGCTCAGCATCTGCCTTGCTTTGCAGGCAGATCGAGTCACTTTGGCTTGGAAGTTTGGTCAAGTCAACACATATGGATCCATACAACACCTGTTGGAAGCATGGCGAAACTCTCGAATCGAACAAAAACTTGCAAAAGGTGTTCCTTCCTTGGGCATGTTCAGGCCGATTCCTGCAATGATCCCCTGTCTTTTCCGAAATCACTGTTGATCGACTGCTCCAAGCTTCCAGCTGTTTCATGAGCTCACCTCCAAGCTGGTCAGCTTCGGGGGAGCTCCCTCCGAGGAGCCACCGAATACACGATCTGGGCTCGATCACCCTGGCAATTGTCTTAGCAAACAGGGGAAGCGTCCTTTGCCTGGCAGTCTGTTGAAGTGTCCTGAGAAAATGACAGCTGATTCACTTGGTATTTATTGTAGTAATGACATCCCCTGAACAAACTTGGAAGCAAAACATTCGCAATTCGTAGGGCATTGTATAGAATTGGTTCTTCTTCGTCGCACATCCATCAAGCCCAAAGCTCAGCCATGTCAGAACTCAGCCACCTGGAACTGAACAGCCTTCCAAACCACGATGGGCAGCGGGTGCCCGAAGTTGCCTCAAGCTGACGCACTGACTCCGAGCAAATGGTTGACAGTTACCTCAAAAAGAGCTTGACAGTCCCCCAGGCACTTGGCCCTTTTTGCTGGTGTGTTAGGCTGTGACCAACTCAAGTCACAAGTCCAGTGACTCCAAAGTATAGGAAGGTGTTTGGAGTGAGTAGACCCACCAACAAAATACAGAAATTGAATCATATTGAATCCTGATTCCCCATCTGCCTAGCCCCTACAATGTCATTGGCCATTACGTGCCATAGCCATGGACCACCCATCATCCATGCAGTGTAGGGTCCCATCTCATCCTTGCTGGCGCCGAAGTTCCCCAGGTCATCCAGCTCAACGGAGAGGCTGATGTTCTGCTGCCGGCACTCCCCGCCGGAATGGTAGAACAAACGGCTCAGCTGCCTCGGCGACAAGGCCAACGATCCAATCAGAAGATCCGGGTCTGACGAAAAGAGGCCACCAGGGCCTTTGGGACAATGCCTCCACTTCCGGAATCCTGGGCAAGATTTGTTCATCCCCCAAAAGCACAAACCCAGAAATCAATCTTCGTGCGCAGACGGCGGGATCCACCCACCCACACACACCCACGGTAGCGACCCAAGCCACAGGTTCAAGTTCGCCAAGGTCGAGGTGATGTCCATCTCTGTATCATGGGATCCATCGCCCTTGTGAAAGGTGATGCCCTCGAGGCCTGCGATGGAGCCATTCTGGACACCAAAGACGTAGTCCTGCTACGGACGGTGCTGAGTGACGCTCAGTGGCGTTGGTGGGCCACCGCACGCCCAGGGCGGGTGAGGCCATGTCGGTGGAGACTTCAAGCATTTGTGTTCAGCTAGAAAGAAACAGTCGATTGCGATTGAAGGTCATTTGTCTGCGTTGTGTAATAGTGAGTGCTTGTTTTGACAATGATATAATTACTGAAGTTGCAATGGCAGCGCGGGGAACTTTGCTTAATTGAACAAGGTTAGACTCCTTGTCCTTTGAAATATGATTCTTTTCCCCAGCCATGTCATCCACCTGACCCAGGACCCCATCCATCCTGTGGACCCGCGATGAGGAAGGACATTGTCCCACAGGAGACCTCCAGCTTCAGACGTGCCGAGTGCATCTGCTCCACAAACCAACCCCCGGAGAAGTCCTGGAGGGATCTGGCCAAAAACATGGAGAAACATGGAAGTGTTTGGGAAAGTTCAACTCTCAAATGCAAACTCTTCAATCTTTAATGTTTCTTTCCGTTGAGCTTCGGCCGTCCTCTTCATCCGGATCCGAAAGCCTTACAACTCCGTGGAGCTGGATGTTCCTGCGAGGCCATGAAGTGAAACATAGAATTCCCGCAACCTGCATTATATATGTGCATGTGTGTCAAAAGGGAGCTCGTTTGTAGCCTCCTCCCCGCCCCAGATTCTTGTGAACATGTTTTGAAGTCCAACACATCTTCGGCACACAGATTGCATGGATGGTGAAGATTCTGAGAAGATCATTAACCAGCAGGTGGCCTTGGGGAATATATTATCGCAGAGTCAGCTGCCAAAGCTGATATTGCACTTATGAGGGGTTGCACTTATGAGGGATGCCGGAGAAGTGATCCAGAAATTGACTTGAACGCCTGCTGCAAGGCGCCCACTCAAAGGTTCAAGCTTGACACATGCCAGGCGAATCGTCTCTTTTACTTAGGATAAAACCGAAGCCGGCAAAAGAATCAGGCTTTTGTCTGTACATTTGGTGCGTTCAAGGAAGGCAAACTGCAGACACAATGGGCCCTTGGAAACTTGACAAGCCCACGATTCAGGCAGTTGGGGTTCACAGGCGAAGAACAAGACACACAGGAGCTCTCCCAACCAAACAAAGCACAAAAACGTCTAGTAGCTTCTTGTTACTAGTAACAAGTGCATCACTACTAGTAACTTGGGCATTACTACTAGTAACAAGAAGCTACTAGTGCTATTTGCTATGAGTAGTAGTGTACTTGTTACTAGTAGCGATGCACTTGTTACTCTGACGCAAAAAGGCCAGGCGACTTGTGAGGCTTCACAATGCCACCATTGGTCGCCGCCCAAAGCCGGGAGTGGTCGAAATGGATCACCGGCGCAGAGTTCACCGGATGTACCACCAGGCCGATCTCACACCTGTGACAACTCTGGAGGTTGGGCCCGGGGTTCCACCAAGTACTGTGAAAAGCCAGTGGAATCCCCCGAAGTCATGTGAAAGCTTCACCTGAACCCACGACTGCTCGTGCGTGGCCTGGCCGACTCCATGGTATGCAACATCGAGACTCGGATCTCAAAATGCACCACTCCATGGTAGAGCTCAGGGTATGGAGTGAATGCCAAGGCTTTCAGCACCTCGGACAAGACCACCATGGCAGCATTGAGCCCTGCTGCAAAGACCATCTGGTGAGCTGATGAGTCTGTCACGCGCTATGAGATACCATTTGATAAGGGGTTGACGAGTTTCTGTAAACAACAACAACAACAACAACAACAACAACAACAACAAGGTACAAACAAAAACTGCAACCCCGTTACACCACATCTTCTTTCTTTTTCTCTACACAAGGGGGTAGAAACAAATTCTGCAACCCCGTCGTTGTTTTTTGACCCCCCCCGCAAAACAACCGGACAACAAGCACTTTACTGCTACTACTACTAGTGGTACTAGTGCTACTACTACTAGTGGTAGACACCCCCCACCCCGGGACGTGTGGACAGTGCGCGGGGCGTGTGCGGAGGCGGAGGGGGTGGAAACCCGGTTCTCAATCTATGCACTGAAAATCAGTCTTTTCTTGGAGACTCCTGGAAGTTTTTGGATTCCAATGGAACAATATGGTCGATTTAAACGCCTTCTTAGGGTCTATGAAACTCCTCTGAGGGTCATGCTACTGGTGATGCTTATTGTAACTGGTTGAGTAAACCCTGTAAAACTTCTACTTAGAACCTCTACAACGTCCTAGAAACAAAAACTGCAACCCCGTGGTTGTTTTTTGGACCCCCCCCTTCCAAAAGATGTTGTTGTCTCTACCCCCCCCCAGAAACAAAATCTGCAACCCCGTTGTTGTTTTTTGACCCCCCCCTCCCCAAAACAACACAACAAAAAACAAGAAGCAGAGCAACCAAGACTTGAGTACCACAACGACAAGAAGTCCAGCTACTAACATCTCTCCAAACCTTCGACCCTATCCCTAACAGAATCCCATTGAAATCCCTGACTTGCAACATGTGACAACTATGTTGGGCGGCTGTTTTTGTCTCTACCAACAACAACAACAACAACAACAACAACAACAACAACAACAACAACAACAACAACCACAACAACCACAACAACCACAACAACCACAACAACCACAACAACCACAACAACCACAACGACAACGACAACGACAACAACAACAACACCAACAGCAACAGCAACAGCAACAGCACCAGCAGCGGCACCAGCAGCAGCAGCAGCAGCAGCAGCAGCAGCAGCAACAACAACAACAACAACAACAACATACAAAAACCGGATGTTCTGTTGAACGTCTTTTGAATTCCTTCAGTTACCTACCAGGGTGCCTACTCTACTTACCTCTGGTTGCCTTCCAATTCGCTTCGGCCTGAAGAAAACAAATTGATCGTCTGCAGTCGAGGTATCCAGGGGTTGTTGGTTGTAGTTCCTAATGAAATGATTCTTGCTGACCATTCCCCAATATTCCCCAAGTAGGTTGCATAAATGCTTTCTGCACGGGTCCTCCCTTGCGACAAGTTGCATCTCTGAAGCCCGCCAGCGTCGTATTGAACCAAAGCGTTTGAATCCGCGGAACCCGAAGACGGCTGGACTCGGGGCCATCGTCCCCGGAGCCATTTCGGGTTCCGTTCCACGCAGCAAGTTCCTCGGCCTCGCTGTCATTCATGAACGGCTCCTGAGATTGGAAGCGATCAGAATGACCTGGTGGGGGACTCAAGCTTAGAGATTTCTCTGATAGTCTTGACTCAACCAGAGTGCTCCGGATATGGTTCCATCGGACATGGATGCTTACAAGTACTTGTTGCAAGCTGCTGGCATGAATGACTTCCTTGGACTCTACTTACACTTTGGCGTTTTACGGCCTTTCTGTGCTTACATAAGTCAACTTGCTCACTATACGGCACCAAGGGTCCAGTTCAGGAGGAAGTGGCATGCCAGGCAACAGCTGCAGTCCACCATCCCCGACAAAGATCTCCACCTGGACCTCAACCAGCACCGACAGTTTCATGGTCTACTCAGAAGTGAAATGGGAACCACAACTCCACGATGTGAATCAATGGGCCTGCAAATGGGCTGGGTGCTTTATGCTGTTGTCACTTCCAAAACATAAGTCCAAGCTTGCGCGATTGACAAACTGCTACTGCTGCATCGTAGATAAGGAGATTGCAGCAGTTGCGGATCCCCTAAAGCTTAAGGAGGACAACGAACAAAAAATGTAACTGCAGGGAACACCAAGCATCCAAAGGTAAGAAATACAAGACTGGAGGCTCTTTGGCCCGCATACAAAATGGGAAGTCAAAGTAGATGTCCAACCATTTCCAAACATTCGTGAGACACATACATCTTGTGCCAAGCCAAGAACAATGTTCTGATCACCGATTTGAACAAGGCAGCGGACAGCGGACATGTGCATGCACAATTTGCTCCTGAAACGTTAAAAAGAAGAAAAAAACAGTCTACTTCTCCAGTCTTCGCTCCCTAGCCTCACTATCTTCGTCACCATCGCCGGGCAAGGGCTCAAAGTCACCTGCAGGCGCAGGAAGTGTCGCGTAATCCTATTGGAACCCTGGGAATCAGACATGAAACACCTATAATGACCTGCTGTGTGCACCAGAAAACGTTGATCTGCAAAGGCTTACAGCTCCCAGCTGGATATCACTGACGCTGTTTCTGGAGATCCACAGCTGTTGATAAAGCAGCATCCTGCCAAGCCACGAATGGAGATGTTGGCACCAATGGGCACTGCCCGTTGACCCTCGAAGAGGTCCACCGCAGGAGGGCAAACCTCCATTGCTGCCGGCAAAATTCAGGTTGATGTGTCTCGCCCACGCTTTAGAGCTGGGCCACGCGAGTTTTGACCCACAAGTGTGTGCTTTCAACTCTATGTGAATACATAAACCCCACAACCTTGTTTGATTTGCTGAAGAGTGTAAAAGGACTTCTCGCTTCCTCGATCACAAAATATCCATGATGTGGCTCGACGAATCCAAGAAATTAGGAACATGAAGATCGGTTTTCTTGAAACCAAGCAGCTATGATCAATGGATCAGTTAGGCTGGCGATCTGAATTGGCACGCTCGTATTCACCTCCTTTCAAGTTTGTCAGTCAAGTGGCCAAGACAAGTCTAGTGCAGCAGTTTTCGTGTGCAAAACCAAAATCCTAAGGGGGAGACACCCCCTAAACAAGTGCAAAGTCAAGCAATTCATCAGACCAGAAGCATATTCACCATCCGTGATCATCACCACAAGCTCATCAGGTCCATTGTAGTTAGGATCTGGGAGGAACTCCAATTGCGCCAAGAAGGTGTTCAGCTCATACAACCAGGCTGTGTATTCAAGCCTCTTGCCATCCAACCTCAGCCAAGTACGGGTGCGGTGATACACTTCATAGAAGAGATTTCGACATGGTAAATCTCGTGTTCAAGGATTTACTAAGAAGATCGTTGGCAAATCCAGGAAGCGAAGACCTCACACCTCTGTCTGTGGCATTCTGCAGTGAGATGGAACGCAGCTGGCCATGCGAAGTGCTCATGAAGACCTAGGCGTTACGCTTTGAATCGCAGGCGACGGGTCTACCATCATGACACCTTTCGATGAATCCAACTGCTGAGTCGAAGCATGAATCTGAAAATATCTGGCAGGTGTAATGGGGCGTTGGTGAATGGGATAAGCACAGAGGTCAGATGAAGTAGCCTCGTTTTGAGGGCAACGTGGAGGGATTGTGAATTTTTCAGTGGAAAAGAAACGGTGGGTGAAACGGTGCTGTATATTGTATGTGTACCGGACAAACAGGCAATGTTGTTACAAACGCTGCCCACAACGGAAACGGTCATGAAGAGTCCTGGGATGCTAGGTCGTTCCTGGACTGACAATGAGCTATGGAGGTGTGGGGAGTATATGGACAATAAGAAACTTCCAGGGGACATCACAACACAGCTGATGGAATTTGTGGAGATTGTGGATTCCGTTGCTAGCTTTGAGGTTTGCTCGATGTTAACAGGACTCGTGCTACAAAGACTGATTATTCTTTATGCAGCTCAGTATGTATAGAATACGAGATACACCATGTCTCATTCCAAAGACATCCGGTGATCAGCTGCCCAGCGGCCGTCAACATGCGATCGACCAAGTGTTCGGAGGCCTTGTGCATCACCATGAAAGACGCGAATTGCCCATGGTCTTCGAAGACCTCTCGAGGAAGCTGGCAGTTCTCCAATCCAACGGTCCAACGAAAGCCACGTTTCAGTTGGCTGGCAAAGTGGATGATTGGGAGACCCAGCTCCGATGGATGGGCCATGGGACTAGAGACAGGAGAAGAATGGGGTTTTCTGAAAGAGAAGCTTCAGGACCCCCTAGTAGCGTCCTTTGCTCCTAGTAGCGATGCCCTTTGTTA